AATGAATTATATATCACTTTGTGGAAATTGAATTGTCTCAATTCCAATGATGTAGCACTTTAACATATTTCTGCAATATTAAAAATGTTGAAGCAAAACATTTTTGGCCCACCCTGTACATATATGACTGAATAATGTGTCTGCATGAAAAGCTATATGTTTATCTCAGAATATGTAAATTATGCATGTCATATTTACCTTTTGGGAGACCCATCATGCATTTTATTTTGTATTCTCTAAACTACCAAAACTAGCAGTAGCAATATACTTACAATGAACTGTAACAAAATGTTCTACCATACTCGCTCCAATGGGATTATTTGCATAACAACTATACATTCCCATGTGGCGATATGTTGCTCTAGGAATGGTATGTACCAGTGTTAATACCTCCTTTGCCTCTTTTTCCTTATTCGATCCCAGAGAAATAACTATTGTAGATGCTGGTCTACTGTCAGCATTACAGGTCAAGGAAAATTCGGAATTTTCCAATACAGGAGATTCACCAGTGGAAGACACAAAGCTTGTCACTTTTGTTGGATCTATAAAGACAAAAAATACAATGATACTATAAGTGTGTCCTAAATTCTGACTTAATTATAAAGGAAGAGGTGCGATTATCGGCAAATATCCCCATGGTCAAAATGAATCATTCTTAGGTGTAACATGAAGAATAGAATGTCATATAATACTTTGGAAAATTTTAAAGGGCTTGGGCACACATAAGCTGAGATAGGGGTCATTTCAATCAGTAAGGTTGTATTGACTGACATGGGATTATGCACCATTGACTTAAGATGGGGTTATCATCAGATCCAGATCTAAAAAAAAGGCCATTGGATTCCATTGATTATCACAGAAATGCCAAAAATACACTATGACCTGAATGGATTGCAAACTTAATAATTTCACAATATGACACAAATGGTTCATAGGATGCAAATGGATTTAGCGCATTACTTCCTTTGAAGTTTGGTAAAAAAAACTGCTAACCCAAAAACAGGAAACAAGACACTTAGTGATGAATATTTACACTTTTAAGAAAAAATCCGTGCTCTACCCAACATGCACAAAAACCTAATCAGATCTTGGCACTCCTAAGTCTTGAGTCTAAATATAGAAATTAACAGTGTTTACTAAGTAATTGCTATAGTGACTTAGGCAAATGGCCCAGCATGTGAAAAGAAAGACCAAAAGATGATTCTTTACATTTTGATAACATCACTTTTAGCCCTTTTCTTTTTATATTCCTTTGCAGTACAATGACAAGGTCATAGTCAAACTTGAGTACATATCTAAATAACACACTGCTCAAAAGCACATTAAAAGATAGATTGTTTAAGGATTTAAGCCTTGGACTCAGTGCATTGTGTGTTGAACCATTCCATGAAGATGTTGTTTCCAAATCTTTGCATGACCTCGAAAGGAATGCAAAGTTTAGGAAACAACATTTAAGTGTAAAGAAGCAGCCACAATGCATTGAGTCTTGGGCTAAAATTCTTTTCACACATTGCAAAATATTTTCTGTAAAATAACCTCAACTTTACAAAATCACTAAACAAACATATTTTCAAGGAAACTGCAAGGGTCAAGTATTTGCAAACTCAACTTCACTCCAAATCATTCAATCAGACACACCTTACCTAGCTATGTATGGATTTAAGACAATTTCATCCAATTAGGAATTAAGGACTGCCCAGATTATTTTGTGATTCAATAGATATCTCACTTCTGTAAGAGTTGTAAGTTTGGAAACAAAACCCTCATTCCAAAATGCTGATATGTAATTGACTAGATGTGAGTAGAAATAATCTTGATTTACATCATTAAAAATTAAAAAGTGAAATATATTTTCTTGTGTTGGGCAGATAATATTTTCTTTTACTGGACGTATTTTAATTTGTTTTACTATCCGATACATAAGGGTAATATGAAGATTGAACCACTAAAACTGATGAATATTCAGGTTTAAGGGAACTTTGTAATGTTATTTCCCCCGAATAAGACACCTGGTGGGGAAACTGGTAACTACCTACTTGCATCTCTGTAATTGAATTAAACATTAGAAAGGACAGGTGTCATTAAGGGCCCTTTTTAGCCCCCAAAGATATCTGATAATAATGCATATCATATTGAAGAAAAATCATTTGTGCTTTATAAAAATACAATTTCAGCGAATTTTGACCTTTGATGTTCACACAACAGTCATTTAAAGATCATATACCATTTTTGGTGTTTTTACAAAAAATTCTTTATTTATTGTTGTCTAAGTAAATAGTATATAAATATTAACCAATTTAAATATATTAAAATGTAATATATGAAATACTGAAGAAAAGATATGGTTAAAATTATTTTCATGGAAAAGCACATAGGGCAATATTGACAAAATGCAAATGCTATTTTGGTAGGTTCTGGGCTAGCAATGGGTACATTTCAACTGTGACTGTAATGGATTACTATTGACTTTTATCAACATCACAGGGCAACATTTAAGCAACTTAAATACAAGGAAGATCAAAGATTTCCTGTCATTTCTAAAACGAGGAACAAAAGCATGAATTCAAGGAAAATAAATGAAGGCCTGTGCCAAAATATATAACATATGTGAAAGTTGTGGCACAGTAAAGGATGTGTATAGGATATCATATGATTTTAAATGATTTTATGTTTATCTTCGAGTTGATATCAATATCTTGCCAAGTTAGCATAGCGAGTTAGCGGAGATATTGATATCAATGAGTTGGATTAACACAATATCATGAAAATTCATAGGATGTTCTATTTTTCCCATAGTTCACCTTTAAAACTAAACAAAGCATATCAAAACAACATCCATTCATTCATTCATCCCCGTGATGTCATGAAATCACTATGTAACAAAACACATCATATTGGTGGTAGTTTTCAAATCCCTGCCAAAAGGTGATATCTGTGAAATATTTACAATATTCCACAGATATCACTTTTTCCACGCATTTGCAAAATATCATAAATATGTTTTCATGTTACCTAACAGAGCGGAACAAAGTTCAACTATGGGATAAAGAATAAAAAATAGGTACATAATTGAATTACCACTCCAAAAATATTAAATATGAGGGTTTAAAGAAAGAATATTGAATATGAGATTCAAAAAGACAAGTGGCCTCATGTCTCACATTACCCAAACCCCAGATCCTCGATGTCATATATACTTGTATACTATATATCAATGTTATTTACTGGGAGGATTAAATATGGAGTGTATAGCAATGGTCAATACGATATTTCCAGATGGATATTTTTCCCTAGAAGCGGAACCCAAACTCAGTCATGACATAGAAGCTAACTTTTGCAATTAATAGAAACTTGTTTTTTAGTATATTTTTGTGTTCTATATTTGAGATGAAATAATATGAGATTCATTTCTACAAGAGGATGGAACGAATGTGAACTTGTATATTGAACTATACTCCTTTTCTGAATAAACAGAACAACATTTTATCCAAGCCAATTAAGAAAACCAAGGCCAATGAGTGTAATTTATGCCCAGTTAAACTAGCACAATAACAACTTTTTGTCTGGACTCACTTATTATGTAAGAATGAATTGTATTACTGTTTACTGCATTAAATGTCAAGTATACTATCTGTATTTAATTTCAAATGCCTATCCCACTTATCGAAGGTATACAAGAAATGTTATTTTGAAACAAATTCAGCACAACCAAAACCATGTCCACATAATATGACAAATCCAAGATGGCTGCCACAATTTTAGATCCATGCACATGTGAAGAAGTTAGAAATACACATGGTCCACAAGTTCCATCCCCAATAAAATGGGCAGTTTAAGGTTTTCACACATATCAACTCTATTCCTATATACTTTATATTTGTGGTAAGGCTTGTGATCTAGGTAAACTTAGCATGTTCATGTACCTCCTATCCTCTGAAGCTAAAAACAGAAATAGTGACTTCAATTGAGAAAAATGAATCTTATGGGCTCCATATACATTTAGAGTGGCTGTCCGGCTTAAGTTAGATACTACTGATAATCTGAGATTGAAAATTATGTAAAGTTTAGTCCTCAGCCTCTCATAACGGATAACTTCGAGGTAATTGTGTTGTTACTGCAAAAACCTCTATTTCTTCATCACAAATCTACCATCTTTTGCATCTGTCAAAACCCTTCATTTCATGTTAATTTTCACACTTTAGCTTGTGCCATCATTAAATATATATATTCAACTTGTTATTCAGAATATTTTAAGAGCTCTTCATGAATTTTTTTATTTTCACACTTTTGAAAAAATGACTAAGTCAGAGAATGGCCTCCTAATGGCATGTCCCCTTTCTTTTACTAATTTTCTGATTCAAAATACTTTCATAAGTTCTGGAATGTTGATACATCTATGCAGACTACACAGACTACTTGTTTTCATGCTACATAAGATTTCCTCATGTTATTTACATCTGAAACTTAGAAGAAATGTGACATTTACATTTGCTTCAATCTGATTTATATGATAAGGTAGTAGTGTTGTTTCATTTCTCAATGGTGAATACTTACACAGCACAACCAAAAATATTTGACTTGAGGCAGGCCCTATATCATTAGTTGCAGTGCAGCTGTAATTTCCATGATGGCTTCGCTGTAATTTACCCAGTTGAAGTGTGTCACCAGAGTTGTGTTCTTGAGAAGAACTGTTGAAATACCATTTGTAGCCACTTGGTGGATTAGCTGTTGAAACACATTTTACTTCCTGCAAGGTTTCATTTTCTACTTGTGTTATTGTCTTAGTGTTTGGTGATATTTGTATGTTATAAGGTTTATCTGAAAAACAATGACAATTACAGCAGTGTTTGAGATTATGACACATACTTGAAAAAGGTCAAAAAAAATTGAGACTATAACATTATGTCATGACTTCTGGTAGTGTCATAAAATAGTTAAGGACTATAACCATATTGAGTAGCCACTTCTGGTAGTGGTATAATAAGAGACTAAAAGATAACTTACACTGTACATTGACATTGGCAGTTTTATCAGCTGATCCAGCATCATTAGTTGCTGTGCATTTAATATTCCCAGATCCTCCTCTCCTTTCAGCTTCTGTTGAACCATCTTTCCATTTCAGTGAACTAGTTGTTGTTGTCCATTTTCCAGATATTGATGGAGAGTCATTGAATGCATAAACAGCATGATTACTTGTTATTTCACTGTTATTTAAATACCATTTGTAAGAAGATCCTGGCTTTGCCTTGTCTATACATTTAAGACTTGTCGGCAATGTAGAATCAGAATTAATGACATCAACATCTGAAGGTGGATGTGTGGTTATGGATGGCACAGCTACAAAATAATGATCAATGCGTTTATATGACAATGTGTCACCACTTGCAATTAGTAACAAAAGGATAACAATTGTTACATATGACAACTGCTAGTCACAAAGGGTATGGCTATAAACACACTAACATCCCTTCTTTATTTTGAAGTTATAATCTATATACTTGTTCCATACATTCGGACTAGATGGACACATTCTTATTGTTTGCATCAACATTTACATCTGTGTATAATGGTTAATTGAATGTATGGGATATAAGTACCATTTACTGTTAATGTAACCAATGCATGGGTTCCATCTCCTGCCGAGTTAGTTGGTGTGCATTTGTATGTGTCATCGTGATCATCAACAGTGGCACTACTTATAGTAAGGGTTGCTGATGATTGGTCAGTTAAGGGAGTATTGGAGTCTCCCTTAAACCACTTGAATGTTGACTGTGGGTTTCCTCTATCATTTGGATGATTACATCTCAATGTAGCAGTTTCTTCTTCATTTACTTTAACATTGCCACCCGAAGTAGCAGTGCCGGGTTTATCTAAAATTAATACAAGAACTATTGAACCAAGTGTAATGCATAAGAATAAAATGTATCATTATACATTTACATGTACTTTGTAAATCTTTTTGATCAAAATTGAATTTTATTTATTCAATCTTTTTTTAAATATTTTTTTATTTCATTATTTTTTTATCTTATTAATTTCAAACTGCATATGATGCTTCTACACAGTTGCCATTAGTCTCAATTCCAGATTGATATTTAAAGAACATGAGATATTTTCCCTCATTTTTAATTTTTTTCTACATTGAAGCTATGAATACTTCAAATGCTAGAATCTTATGCTACTTAAATATTTGTTAAAATCTTTTTCTTTAATGGTTTAATACATTATTGAAATTGTCTCTGTGGAATATGTTCCAAGAACATGGCACTTTATCCAGAGAGGAGCACCTCAACTCACTTCAACAGTTTTCAAAAATATTCATATATATGGTTTATTTTCTACAAAATAATCCTCCTTAAAAGCTTAATGAATTTAGCTTTCATTGAATCATCACTTCCATTTTTTAAAGAGTCTACATTAATTCTTATGAGTTATAGTCTCTATTTTGAATAAAAAAGCAGCATGTCAAGCATTCTTTTCAATAGAAAACAAAGAAACTACAAGAACACAAATGTGAACAAAATGTCCCCGCCTATGGGTGATCCTGTCAAACGGTTATCCTAAAAATGAGTAGACAAGACTTTACCGACACAATTTGAGGACGGAAAATCCAAAATGGCCACCTTAAAATTTACCCAGAAAATTAGTCAGTTCTAGATTTTCATACTAAGAAACATTCATACTGAAAATTTGAAATTGATCTACCAAACGGTTCACCTGGAAATGCGTAGACAAGACTTTACAAACAAGGTTTTAGAACAGAAAATCCAAAATGGCTGCCTTGACATTTACCCAGAATGCCCAAAAACTAATCAGATCTAGATTTTCATACTAAGAATCATTCCTGAAAATTTGAAATTGATCTACCAAACGATTCACCTAAAAACGCGTAGACAAGACTTTACGAGCAAGATTTTAAGATGGAAAATCCAAAATGGCTGCCTTGACATTTATCCATGATGCATAAAAACTAATCAGATCTAGATTTTCATACTAAGAATCATCCCTGAAAATTTGAAATTGATCTACCAAACAGTTCACCTGGAAATGCGTAGACAAGACTTTACAGACGAGATTTTAGGACGGAAAATCCAAAATGGCTGCCTTGACATTTACCCAAAATGCCCAAAAACTAATCAGATCTAGATTTTCATACTAAGAATCATCCCTGAAAATTTGAAATTGATCTACCAAACGGTTCACCTAAAAACTCAATAGACAAGACTTAACGGGCACGATTTTAAGACGGAAAATCCAAAATGGCTGCCTTGACATTTATCCAGAATGCCAAAAAACTAATCAGATCTAGATTTTCATACTGAGAGTCTATGGCATTATTTTTGCTTCTTTATTCATCAAATTCAAATATATTCTGTATAGGAAATATTAATATTCGTTAAATCATTTTTCCATTCGGTATAAACGTTTATATGTTTGTTACAGCAAATTAAGTTTTCAAAATAGCCAATCACTTAATACCATGTGCATTAAATTACATATTTCATTCGCTAAATGATATGTTTTTGCGTAAATTGTTATGGTATTCCTTAAGAGTAACACATTATAGGCACAATATTGAATTTCTATTTGAACCCTACCGAAATAAGTTTGCCTATATTTACCAAATGGTTTATTTTTCTATGACATAGTTGATGCATTTTACCGAAAGCTAATTTGCTATTTACCGAATGCAATAAAGTAATATTCGATAACTTTCGTTGTTGTTCGATATTTTGTCACGTGACCTCGAGATTTGCAAGCCGCGCAGCTATTCTGCATCGTTCAAATATATCACGTGACTGAAAGTCTCGTAAAGTATCGAAAAATAACGAAATTTATCGAATGTGGCATTCGGTATTTACCGAATATAAATAATGTAAATACCGAATGTACAAATAATTGATTAAATCATACGTGCGTTGAGGAAAACAAATAGATTCGCTGCATCACACAAATACATGTATACTGTGTATGAATATCAAATGTAAATACCAACACAAAGAACAAGTGAAACGATTTAGCGAATATAAATTGTATAGATTATTACATTCGATAAAATAAAAAACATTCGATAGATTGGGTAAAGGTTTGGAAAATTGTTTGTTTTATTTGGTATTTATGGAATATTTAATGTACCGAATAAAGAAGCAGTTTAAACACCATAATAGTCATCCCTGAAAATTTCAAATTGATCTACCAAACGGTTCACCTAAAAACGCGTAGACAAGACTTTACGGGCAAGATTTTAAGACGGAAAATCCAAAATGACTGCCTTGACATTTATCCAGAATGCATAAAAACTAATCAGATCTAGATTTTCATACTAAGAATCATCCCTGAAAATTTGAAATTGATCTACCAAACAGTTCACCTGGAAATGCGTAGACAAGACTTTACAGACAAGATTTTAGGACAGAAAATCCAAAATGGCTGCCTTGACATTTACCCAGAATGCCCAAAAACTAATCTGATCTAGATTTTCATACTAAGAATCATCCCTGAAAATTTGAAATTGATCTACCAAACGGTTCACCTGAAAACGCGTAGACAAGACTTTACAGACAAGATTTTAGGACGGAAAAATCCAAAATGGCCGACAATAAAAAAGTGATTATGAATTTTTACTGATTTCTTTTTACAAAATTATCACATATAACTACTGTTAACAATAACATAGGCTTTTACAACAAAGTACACCTGAAATTATTTATAAAGCTACTAAATAGTTAAAGTATGAAAACTGAAAAACACCATTCAATGTGATACAAAGTATTATCGTGCGCTAACTTAAAACATTCAAAATGGCTGACATGACTGAGCTAACAGGTCCAAAACCTAATCAGATCTAGAATGAAGTGAGCTGAACAAGATGTTAAAGTTTTAAAAGCAACTGTGAAGCCGTTTTTCTTAAAGCTTGCAGACAAGGATTTTAGCATTTGACTTCAAAATGGCCGACAGGAAGTAGGTATCGAGATAATTTTTTTTCATCCACATCTGTATGCACTCATAGTTAAAAAAGTTATCCCTGAAAATTTGAAGGTGATATCTGTAGCGGTTTTGGAGAAAACTGCCGGACGTATGGATGGACAGACAGACGGACGCGCCTAGGCCGACAATATGGGCCCACACTATGTGGTGGGGACATAAAAACAAACGCTCCTCTAATTAGAGGTGAGATACATGCAAATTGTATTGTTAATTCAAGGTAATTCAATCTGATTTTTAAACTGCATGCATTTCAGGATTATGTTTTAAAGGGACAAAGTCAATTTGAAAATCTTACATTGTATGTTAATATTAAATGTTTTCTCATCATCTCCAGCTGTATTTGTAGCTTCACATTTCACACTGCCACTCCCAGCTTTTCTCTGTGCCTCGGAAGAACCACTTTTCCAGCTGAGAGAACTTGTTGTAGTTGTCCATTTCCCAGACATTGAATTTGAACTACTGTACTGGTATATTGAATTAGAGCCTGTTATTTCACTTCCATTTAAATACCATTTGTAAGAAGATCCAGGTTTAGCTTTATCAATACATTTTACATTGTCAGGCAGTGGCTGAGTATTAATGGCATCAACAATACCTGTTGGGTATTTACTCATGGCAGGCTTGGCTGAAATAATCAACAATTATATACAAATGTATCATTTCAATGTTTTAAATGACAATTTACTTGTGGTAAGCTAATGCAAAATAATGAAGAGTGAGTTAAGTCTGACATATAAAAGTAATGTATGTTACCTCTCACAGTTAATGTAACTGAAGCAGATATTCCATCCCCTGCTGAGTTAGTTGGTGTGCATCGGTATGTGTCATCATGATTATCAACAGTGGCACTACTTATAGTCAGGGTTGCTGATGATTCATCGGTGAAGGGAGTATCAGATGCTCCCTTAAACCACTTGAATGTTGACCGTGGATTTCCTCTATCACTTGGATGATTACATCTCAATGTAGCAGTTTCTTGTTCATTTACTTCAACATTACCACGCGAAGTAGCAGTGCCAGGTTTATCTGCAATCAGTACAAATATAAAGTGTATAGGTGCAGTTTCTAAGATGTTTTCTCAAGACTATTATTTAACCAAATAAAATGGTCCATTCTGTCAACTTTCAACAACAATATTGCAAAAAACTAATTTCTAATTTCTCTTAATGAGAATGAAGCAAAAGCTCTTAAAGCCCCCGATAAATCGGGCTACGTATACCGCCGTGTTTACATTAGGGGATTAGAAGAGTTTATTTTTTACTTAGGTATGCAAGCAATATCAATATTAGGCCTTCATGCATGTACTCGTGTGTACAATTAGCATGCCCTTCAATATTACATAAGCCAGGCTATTCAAGTATAACATAATGTACACTATTTATGTGTATACTACATGGGAATACAATTCCCTGGGAAACAAAACACAAATACTTTTTATATGTTCAAAATGAGCCATTTGATTGATGCATACACTTAATACCTTCATATATAAACATCTACAAAGTATATCTAACAGTTATTTTCAATTCCAATGTTGAAACTTGCCTGGTTACGATTATACGGGAAATCAACACGGGACGATAGTTGTACACCTTCCTGGCTTACCTCTGAAGCCTGTACCCTGTAATCTCTTTATATAGGTTAGCGAGAGCGCTGCGCCTGCGCAGTTTTAAATTTTGGCGCACACTTTAAATATACATGTAATCAGTCTCAGGGGTTCAGTTGTGAACCACGCCTAAAGTCACAGTCTTTGGATTCGGATCCATGGAAAAATGTATAAAAGAGCTGTCTTGAAAACTAAGAATTAAGAAAAAATTAAGGCTTGTAATTGACATATCTTGTCATCTATCAATCGTTTTGCTGGTTAATAGTTAGCTTTTATTTGTTGCTAGCTTTTTGGTTACATTGTGTTTTTCATTATCTCTATCCAACTATTTTCTTGTAGAGATGGTACTGTAGGATGACACTTGTTACTGACACTTCTTGTGCTTTGAGGCCACGTTTTTCAAGTGAAAACTATGTTTTTCTACTTTTTCACCGTTCTAAAATTTGTTCTGAGGACACAATATGATAATTGGACAAAGGGTTCATTTGAAAAATAAAAGATACAAGGAGAAAATGACACATTAAATTCCGCCTTCTTATTATGAATGCAAGTGCAATACAGAAACTTAAGGACTGAAACCATAACAATATAAGTAGACACAAAAACATAAATCAGAGGGTGTATACATGTATCACCCACCAAATACTTAAACAGTTTATCAATACATAACTCAACTGCTAGATCATTTGGCCATTAACAACTCAACCCCTGGGCATCCCATCTTTGGTAATTGTACTCCTCATCTATGTTTGATTTTCAACACATCGTCATGCACGTTTTAGTCAGAATGCTCAACTTTTGAACTGTGTTGATATTTTGGAAAACCTTTATAAGATTTGGAGCAAATCTGACAACTGGTACTACCCAACTAGGGGTATCTTACATTTAACATCCAATGTGATGGTAGCTTTCAAATCAGAAGTTGCTGTGTTGTTCAATCTGCATTCATACATCTTCTCATGGAGATCCTTTGTCACTTTTGATAGGGTCAGAACACTTGAACTTGTAGCCCCTGGGTCGGTCTTCCAATTTGTATTTCGGCTTTCAACTACCCCAACTGAAAGAATAACCATTGAGTTTAAAGAGAAATCCTATTTGATGAATATAATTTTATACTGTCCAATATGTGCATTTATCCCATGATAATTTTTTATTGTTCCACCCAATCCCAATGAAAATGGTATTCACCTCCCGGGAATTTTTGCCAAATAAAGCTCTCCTATTACGTTCAGCTTTGTTGATTTATCCCATGATACTACTACTTCCATGTGAATAACACAAGGGAATATTTTTGATATTGAAAAAAATTTGTATTGTTCCACCCAATCCCGCTCATGAAAATGGTAATTCACCTCCCGGGAATTTTTGCCAAATAAAGCTCTCTTATTACGTTCAGCTTTGTCCATGTCGCGTTAATAATGTTCTTATATGAGAAACTATATTTTCCGAACAAAATTGAAAACAGAGATTTTCTAAGCCTATTAAACATAGGTGAATTGTAATTTCATCATCATGCTCTGACACAGAGAGTCAACGTCATAGAAATCTGAGCAATATCTGAGCAATAATGCCCTGTGTTTTCCCTCGGAATAAAACCCATATTGAATCCTTCTCGGTAAAAAAACTCTATTTATTCACTAATAACAAGCTTTCGCTGGGAAATAAGCTGGCAATAAAACTGATGTTCAAAAAATCCAGTATCAGATCCTGCATCAGCCAAAATCCCATATCAGATCCCATATCTGTTAATAAAAGTTGAAAACGGCGTTCGAAAAATTAAATTGTATCATTTAATGTCACCATCATTGAGTGACAACAAACAAAACGAGTTCCACAAAAGGGTTGATCTTCCAGTTTGTATTTCGGCTTTCAACTACCCAAACTGAAAGAATAACCATTGAATTTAAAGAGAAATTCTGTTTGATGAATATAATTTTTTACCGTCTAATATGTGCATTTATCCCATGATACTACTATTCCCCGGTGAATAACACAAGGGAATATTTTTGATATTGAAAAAAATGCATTGGTCCACCCAAATCCCGCTCATGAAAATTGTATTCCTCTCCCAATCCCAGTCACGAAAATAGTATTCACCTCCCGGGAATTATTGCCAAATAAAGCTCCCTCATTACGTTCAGCTAGGTCGATGTCACAATTTATACCTAATTTATAAGTTTACACTTTAGTATACATCCAATTTAAATCAAGAGCACACTCTGATTGGTCACATTTTAAACTTGGTTTACACTTAGTTTACATCCTAGTTCACCCAATCCTTAATTGGCGAAATGCTAACTGTGATAAAGGGGGAGAGAGAGCAAAGATATTCTGAATTTTGAAGCACTGTGATCAGAGGAATCCCTTAAGTAGTATTTGGTTTATCAATTTCTGTAATCTCGAAGTCCATACAAACATTTAAAAACAGTAACGTTTCGTTAAGTGAAGTTACAGGAGATTCAAACCGTAACGAATTGCAAAGAAATTGCGAAAACAAAAAATCCCATGTGAAATCGCTATAGGGATTTACCTGGATAGTTCGTCTTGGTGCTTTAGAAAGTATTTGTAGGAGTTATGCTATAGTACAAATATCACAGAATGATCAGCATTAAAGATCTATACAAGTAATTCTGCTCAGATTTTTAAATTGAAGTTTTAAACAGAAAATGCTAAAGTAATTCTGTTTTATAAAAAGTCCAAATCCGCCATCTTGAATTATGATGTCACAATGACACTCTTTTGCATATTCAAAGGACGAGTGTCTTTAAGACCCTATATTACCCCCAAGGTACTTAGAAAAAGGTCTACAGGATATCAAAGAAGAGACTTTGTTTGATAACCAGATCCAAAAATTAGTGATCTTCTTTATACTTCATTTAGATCAATTGTCTACAAAAAAGTTTGCGAAACTAAGTCAGAAAAGAACATTGAGTTTATTTAATCTACATCACAATGAGAAATACATATCAATCTATTATATATTGATCTGCTACCTTGAGATCATTTGCGCATATACATGTACAGTTTGTTTTAAAGTGGTAGTAAAATACTGAATTTATTATTTCACATCACAGTGAGGAAGCACAAAGAGCAACATTTGAAAACACATGAAATATAACAATTTCGAAAAGGTTACTCTGGACTTTACATAACTGTTGATGAGCACATTCATGTGTTTTTATACCCCTTGTGCCAACAACCCTACTCCCAACTTGGCATGTACAACACCATCCAGTGATTGCATCAATACTATCACAAACATCTGGATCTGGCTTATACTCCACCCATGTATAATGAGATTCAGAGGACACAAACCGATTACTGGACTTTTACACAAATTAGACCATATGTATCTTTTTTAACAATGATAGTATATTTCATCTGTGCATCGTTTAAATTGGTTGGCTTGATCTCAAGAGAGTCTACCATGATTTAGATGTAACCCTCTTGTCTCCATACTGGGAGATTGCAGTTCACTCATGCAGTTCCTTTTGCTTTGGGCATTTTATTAGCAAATGTCGTTTTTCCGCCTACTGATTGTGACTAACAGTATATTTCTTCTGTACAATAAAGTTGAGCTGGATTTCTAAATATGAACATTGGTATGATCAGCCAGTGAACTGTGATAATATAAAAAAGATTATTCATACACAAAACATCAAGATAAAATGATTGTACAACAATCATCTCATATGAATGTATTGAGAGGAATTGCATGTTATTATGTTGCTTAGAGCAATGGTAAAGATATATGTTTCTCAAGAGGTCTCCAGTGCAAGCATATATATTAGTTCATGAAAAGATCATATGAACAAAGAAAATATACTCAAATATATAAAACACAACTGTCACAATCATTCTAAGGATTTTCAAAATGGCTGACATCATTTTATTTCATGCTGAAAATTGCAGAAAAGTTCCATTTTTGCACAACGCTTGGTCCTTACCTAGATTTTTTACATATCTCAAGAAGTACCTTAGAAGTACAATGTCTATTCCCTCAATACATATACCTTTCTAGGTAAGAACCAAGCGTTATATGAACAAAGCAAGAGTTTATCATGACCTTCCACTATCTAAAAAGAAGTAGGTCAACACAATTGCAAACATAACTAATCCCTACTCAATGACTATTGAAATATGACTTTTTATATGTACAAAATATTAATCCAATGAGTGTATAGAGTGACACAATCAAACAATGGGACATCTGCCAAGTTGGGTTTATACATTCTGGAGACATTTTCTGAGACTGATAAAAAATTCACATTTTCACAGGAAGTGATACATACCTCCCAAATCAACCAAAATATACTTATATCAGTAATCTTGAATGCTTTTTATTGCTATTTCTTGAAAATATACATATTTATCTACAATTTGATCTTACATATCAAGGATATTAACGACATTGCATTTTTCAAAAAATGTTGAGTGACCCCAGGGGTGTCTATAGACATTCGTTCTTTTTCTTTTTCAAAAAAAAAATATGGGTCTGTATAATTTATGGCAATCATGTTTTAAACCTATTACACACTACTATACCTAACCCCTAGAAATGCAGAAGAAACTCCGTTTGTGTAATTGTATTGTTTAGTATATTTTTGAAAGTACCGTATTAACATCTAACAGTCATCCGATAAACCATTAATAAGGAACAGACACATAAAAACAAATAAGATAATTATACTAATAGGGCAAATGGTTTGCTCATGAACACCAAATGCAAGGTATAGTAGAGTGTATTAGTAGTAGTGAAGCCTGTTTATTAGAACTAATATTGCAAAGCTTTTGAATGCTAATGAATGTGCGTTTTCTTCAAAGAAAGCTTTTCAAGTTTGAATATTTTCAGCAATAAAAGCACATTTTGACACAGTGTAAAATATTCAATTATCCACCATTAAGATTTATACTGGTACCACGGTCTATGTTTAGAGGTGATAATAGGAACTAGATGCTTTTGATACTTATTCCCAATGAAAGCAGTTGTAATATGATGGTATTCAATTATGAGAAAAACATACCATCAATCATATCAATTAATTGATTAAATTGATGTTGAAATGATAATTTGAATAAGAATCAAGATATTTGTACTCAGCATATTTTCCCGTTTGGTTAGAGTAAAGGTGTTTGCAACTTGTTCAATTAGAATGTCATTCAGATTCGTTATATCATCCTATATATGTTGAAAGGTCAATGAAAGATGTACAATCACAATACCTGTTATTGGGTTTCCTTCTGTGAACCATTTTGTATCTGGTGCTTCTACTCCACCAGAACTTGAGCAGGTTAATACGGCATCACTTCCTTCTATGACACTATCAGCTCCTGATATCAAGGGCTGGCTTGGGGCAACTAGAAATATACCAAATCAAAGATAACGTTAAGAAATGGCGGCAATGACGTCGTAAAGCTAAAAATGTCCTCATATATTTCATGGATATTCGACAGTCAATTTCAACTGCGTAGCTGTAATGTACGGCAATACGCCATGGCGTTAGTTGAAAATCATCTGTGAGGATTTTTTATTTTTCCACTTATTCACCACAAAATACATGAGCACCTCATAAAGTTCCCGGTCAGTCTCCCTGAATATATTGTCCATTGGACCATACACCCTGGGCCACTAGGTCCGAGGGCGTGTGGTCTTAACCGAACCATTTTTTCTGTATTGGTATGCAATGTAACCCCGTACTATTTACTGATGACAGACGATAGATACGTTGACAAAGGTCCTAGCTGTTGTATTTATATTAAACGTATAGATGTTGTATTATAGAACACTAATTAATATCTTATTTACGAATTATATGTTGGTATATAAACACTAATCAATATCTTATCTACGAATTAAAAAAACATTGCTTTCGTCCAATCATATTTGGTTAAGTGGTTAGGATAGTGTGTTGACTGTTGACCATGCGATGGATCGAGTCCCACTCATTCCTAACTTTTGTTATTCTTTGAGCATATTCTGCCTCAAATGCAATAAAAATTGTCGTTGACTCTTCTTGTCCTAGTTTCCTTTAGATGATTTATATTATTAATGCATATCCAGGAGACTATGTTTTTCGGGTAATTCTGTCCACGAGACAACGTATTCTTAATTTTCTAGTTACATAAGTCCAATTGTAATATTTCCTCTGGTTGCATTTGTCCCCGAGACCCGTTCTTCTAATTTTTCTAGTTATGCTTGTCCAGGGGGACTTTATCGATTGCTTACATATGCATCTGTTCTATTACTCGGGTTGTAACACGATCAGAATCATCACACCCGTTAAAAATGTGTCATCTGTATATTACTGAGAAATGTACAACTGTGAAATGACCTTCGATATCAAGTCGCTACTAGTACAGTCTCAGGTGTAGTGGCTAGCCCTTATGGCTCATGGGTAGAGCGTCTGACTCGAGAGCTGAAGGTCTCGGGTTCGATTCCCCAACGGGGCATAGAATCTAGTAGCTCATTTTCTTTTGAGTCTAGTATCTGGCTCGGTACACTACAGCTCCCCGACGGACATGCCCATGGGTCGTTACAACTGTAATTGCGAATGCGCCAGTACTCTACAAACATGACATTGATTGATGTTTGTTCTAAACTGCATTTTATATTGATCAATATCATGACAAATGCTTGGAATTCCATCCACATGGTCCACGTGTTCGAAAAATCGTATTTTGCATATTGTAGCTATTGGGGTTTGAGTGCAAATTTTTGAGTGCACAGGCAGAATAGTTAGCACTGTTCATGCTACTATTTAAAAGTAGGAAAGGTCACCAGCGTGCTGTCTTAGTAAATATATAACTTACCAGCTTTTATGATAGAGACTCTGGATTTGAGTGAGGACATCAATGACTCAAAGGTGAAATTCGTAAAGTCCGTGTTATCTAGGACACTTTTACTGTGAAGGTTATATTTCCCAGTGATTCCATAGATACTGGCAAATACTGGGTTTGTTGCATTATTGCTGCTGAGTTCTACTTCATCAAGGTCAAAAAGGTATTTTGTCAACTTGCTTCAAATTGATCATTTTTCAAAAGCATCTACAACTTCTCAAAAGTTCAAATCTGACTTTAGATTTGACGTTCAATGATCTTCTCAGGGTAAACAAGTATTTTCCAAACTTGCTTCAAATTCTCAGAATGTCAAATCTGACTTTAGATTTAGGATTTGAAAAAGATTCATAATATTGTGAGCCACTATGTGGTGACATTTTGTCACGTTAATGCCATGTGAACTGTCGAGGAGTTCACTTTTTGGACCAATCTGAAAATTCTAACAAAACGCAGTAATGATATATGAGGGTTATGAAATGGGAGTTTTTGAATTTGAGGAATATCCTCAGGGAAATCCGAGGTGAGATATCATATTTCCCGAGGGATATACTCCACATTTGAAATCGAGCATCACATAAAAACTTTATCCAATGACAAGTGAGCTTTTCAGGACACCAATATCCAGGTTTGTTTTCTTTGAGGTGTTCTTATTCTCATTATTTTCGAGAAATCCATCAACATTTTGGACAAATTCTTCCGACTGCTGCATCCATTTTGAAAGTTTCGCTATAGCTAGATCGTTTAACAAATTGACTGCTTATGCATTGAACAAAACATACATGGGTTATATAGATATATATAGAGAGAGATCATCCTATATGAGGTTCAGGATATTGGAATTATCTCCCGAAGCTAATATGATATATCTGCCCGAGGGTCGTAGGTCCCGAGGGTAGCTATATTATATTGGCTGAGATTTTGCTTTTGAATATACAACAACATTGAAGCACAAGTAAAATATGCTAAGTCCCTGTTTTCCTTGACTCACTTAATTCGGATGTTATATTTCTAAGTGATTCCATATATAGATACCACGGTGTTATAGCATGTCGGTTACGCCATCTCTGAAAACGAGGTTTATTTTTATTTACGATATTCACCACGTTCCTGTTCTGGATTTGTCATTTTATGCTTTGTTTATAAACAGTTTACTTACAGTAAATATTTTGAGTGACTCTGAGGCACATGTACTGAGAAAACACGAGAATGGACCAAACATTTTGAACTTGGATATCTCAGTCGGTAGGTTTACAGCTTATATTCTGTTTCTTGTAGACCAATTGGCAGATTTGACCCAGTCTTTATAACCATCCATATATACGTCACTGAATGGAACTATTTAAAAGCAAATCATATCTGTGAATGTTGCCTACAGGCGAGAAAGAAGACATGTTGCCTTTCCCATCCGCCATTTTTTGTTATCGTTACCGCAAACTTTTGCAAATCGCCTTGACGAAACCATCGTGCTATAACACCGTGGATACCAGTGATCGTGTGAGAAGTGTGTAGTCAAGTAGAGGAGCACATGGTCTTGTAGCTAGACTATACTGAATACTAAATGTATTTCCTAGCCGAGTACTGGTTCATCCACACTCTCTCCTCCGCGATACCTTATCACCTTATGCCCATCGGGCAAGTTAAGGTGTTGGTTTGGAAATCACACAAGGTATGAAATGTAGTAAATGGCAGATAATTGTTGATCTCATCTTGTCAACTGGAGAACCTCTCCAATGGATAGAGAGATTTCGCTCATAAGTGACAGTACACTTTTGAACTACTATATTTACTCAAATCAATTTTAAAGACATGTTAAGCAGATAAGTAGGTCAGTAATCGTATTACATAATCATGAAATGAATAAGTCTGAAAATACAATTGGTCAGAATGTACTAAAACCTGCTTGAAACTGAAAAACATTGCATGCTCTATTCCACACAATTTGGAAGTTTTTGAAATTCGCAGTAACAATGAATAAGCAGCCTGTATATAATCATTGCATAGAAACACTGTGGCTAGTCGATCTATGTGGATGCAGTCATTTAAATGCAATGTATCGTGGGTGCTCGCGTACATTATACACCCTATGCAGACAGAGCCTGTGGGAAATATTGGGTGCGGCGCAAATGAGCGGAGGGTGTGGAGCTAACGGTCATTTTTGAATTTAAAATTGGGATATTTCTGAAACTAAGCCGTTTTGGGACTTCAAATATACCAAGATATGTGTATTTGACACCAAATATCAATACAATTGTGAAAATAGTAGTGCAATTCATTTTATAGCGACGCAGTATGCCTTAAACATTTCCCAGACCTATATATTTTGAGACTATCCTTTTAATACTGCATGCGTCCCCAGCATTCATAAAAAATGGTTTCAAGATAACTACCAATGCAAATTATTTTTGCATCTTGGAAGCCAGGCAGTGTCTGTGTGATTTTATAAAAATTCGGAAATGTTCTTCAGATATGAGCCCCCTCTAAATATTGGGTGCGGAGGTACGTTTATGGAGCTCCTCCGCACCCAATATTTAGAGGGGGCTCATATCTGAAGAACATTTCCGAATTTTTATAAAATCACACAGATACTGCCTGGCTTCCAAGATGCAAAAATAATTTGATTAGATTGTGTACCTTGAACACCATTTTTTATGAATGCCGGGGTATCGAGGTAAGTGATTTTAGAGTTTCTACTTAACATTGTGACTTGAAATCTTGCATACATATTCAATATACATAGTATGACAATGTGTGAAAGTTTCAGCTACCATATTCCTGTTATAGGGAAGATATTTAAAAGGAATTTCGTAAACGTCAACATATATGTATAAAATGGATGCCACTATGTATCATTTGGATTCAGAACGGTAACAAATGGATGCTATAATAAATTATACTTTTATCATGATTATTTATTTACTGATGGACAACTGGCCAGATTTTCTTAGTGTCCATTGTTTGGATAAACATTCATCATTCAGTAAAGTAATTAGCCACACCATTACAAGACACCCTCATGAAGAATTGAAAATACTATATATAAACCCATCAACTGTAAAATGCCATTACAGATGAAAAAACTATGGTTTTATTCCTAATACTGTTAATATGAAAAATTATATGTAATGATGACAATGAAAATGTTGAAATTAGGTACGCCAATGAAGTGAATTACTCAGATGCGAGTAGGTAGTCACCAGTTTTGCCACCAGGTGGCTGATTCGGGGGAATTAACATGGCAGGGTAGTACAAAATTCCCTTAAACTTGAATATGCATCAGTTTTCGTGGTTCACTTTTCATATTACCCTTATGTATCTGATAGTTATACAAATTAAAATATGTCCAGTAAAAGAAAATATTATCTGCCCAACACAAGAAAAAATATTTCACTTTTTGTGGTTTTACAGCATGGGGTCTATGGGAAATCTCCCCATAAACAATTTTCAAAGCTGATTAACTCTTTTCAAAACCACATTTCTAAATATAATTTTACATGTAGATTCCAAATATGACATCAGTTTGA